CGGGCTCCAACTGTGCTGGGGAAGCGCCCAGCCGGGGGTCTGGAGGCTGCCCGGCAAACCGTGAAGCCGGTAGTGCTCGGGCTTCGGGCAGCCCCCATGCGTCCGGACTCTACGCCCCCGGCTGGGCACTTCCCCTCCCGGGCTCCAGCTGCTCTGCTCCTCCACTGACTCTTCGGCTCTGTTTAAGAGCCAAGCTGCCCGAGCGCTACCGGCTTCGGGCAGCCCCCTTGCCTCCAGAACCTGCGTCGCCGGAACAGAGCAGCTGGAGCCCGGGAGGGGAAGTGCCCGGCCAGTATTTTCCCGGACATGTTCGGCTTTTTGGCAATTCCCCCCGGACTGGGGTTTGATTACCAAAAAGCCAGACATGTCCGGGAAAAAACGGACGTATGGTAACCCTAAGTAGGTTTAAGAAACCGAGAGACTTTTTGACTGAAATTAGCGCATTTTGGTCCCAGGAGATTTATTTCTGTCCTGCCCATCCACCCATTTGCAGCTTAATTTATAAAGAAAAGTATATTAACAAAATATTACTTTTTAATAAATTCAGAAACATGCACATTTTAGTGGACCACCAGTGCTACTATAGTTAAGGTTTAGATTTAAATTGTTTTAGTCACCTTAATTTGGCCATGTTGCTCTAATATAGTGTTTTCTATTCCCATTTCTCTTGCTAATAGGATGTCCTAAGCAGAAATGTAATATGTAAACTATAGGTTTCTTAGAACAATAAACAAATTTTAGCACGGATAATAGAATTTTAAGAATATTCCAAACAAAAGCAGACTATGGGGAGTCTCTAGGATCTTCAGTGTTCACCTCAACTTTTGCAGGTATCTGATATTAAGAGATCTGGGGAGGGAGGTTTTAGGACTTCAGGATGTGTGTTTTAATGAGATGTTTATCTAATATCCGTCTTTTAAATGTTCCAGTAGCAGCCACAATAGCCTTACTTGCTGGGCAAATGAAGGTACATTATGGCAGGGGTTCTCAACCTTTTTCTTTCTGAGTCCCCCTTCTCCCCCTGCCCCCCCAGCATACTGTAAAAACTCCACAGCCCATGTGTGCCATTAGGGGGGCTAGCATTAGGGGGTAGCAATCAGGGCAACTGCCTGGAACCCCATGCAACGGGGCCCCCGAGAAGCTACATTGCTCAGGCTTTGGCTTCAGCCCCAGGTGACGGAGTGCAGGGTCCTGGGCTTCAGCCCCATACTGTGAGGCTTCGGCTTTCTACCCTGGGCCCCAGGGAGTCTAATGCTGCCCTGGACCCCCGGTTGAGAACCACTGCATTATGGTGTCGTAGAGGGAGTGGGGCTTCATTAAGTTCTGGTAAAACTTTCTCAAATCAAAAAGACAAAATAAAACTATTCAGATGAAACCTAGCATAGAAGATCTTGTGAGATTTCTAGCATTCTGAACTAAAATCTTACCAGAACATCTCAGGAGTATCCACACCACTCAGTCCTGTCCTAAAACTGTGGATCTGTACTTCAGCCTGAACTCTAAGGCCTAAACTAAGCCTATTCCACATCAGATCTTATTGCTACTTCCTTGGTCCCTCTCTAATGCAAAGTTTGGGTGGAATTAGATTTACACAGGTAATTCTCAGCTTGTGATTAAAGTAGGGCAGTTGATTAATCAGTTAACTCACGTGATTAACTCAAAAAAATTAATTGCAATTAATCACCGTTTTAATCACACTGTTAAACAGTAGAATACCAATTGAAATTTAGTAAATATTTTTGGATGTTCTACATTTTCAAATATATTGATTTAAATTACAACACAGAATACAAAGTGTATAGTGCTCACTTTGTATTACTTTTGATTACAAATATTTGCACTGTAAAAATGGCAAACAAAAGAAATAGTATTTTTCAATTCACCTCATACAAGTACTGTAGTGCAATCTCTTTGTCGTGAAAGTGCAACTTACAAATATAGATTTTTTTTAACTTAACTGCACGCCATAACAAAACAATGTAAAACGTTAGAGCCTACAAGTCCTCTCAGTCCTACTGCTTATTCAGCCAATCTCTAAGAGAAACAAGTTTGTTTACCTTTTTGGGAGATAATGCTCCCTGCTTCTTATTTACAGTGTCACCTGAAAGTGAGAACAGGCATTCACATGACACTTTTGTAGCCGGCATCACAAGGTATTTACTGCCAGATATGCTAAACATTCATATGCCTCTTCATGCTTCAATCACCATTCCAGAGGACATGCTTCCATTCTGATGATGCTTGTTTTAAAAAAAAAAAAAGTGTTAATTAAATTTCTGACTGAACTCCTTGGAGGAGAATTGAATGTCTCCTTTTCCATGGTTTTACCCGCATTCTGCCATATATTTTGTTTTATGGTAGTCTCGGATGACGACTCAGCATATGTTGTTCAATTTAAGAATGTTTTCACTGCAGATTTGACCAAACAACAAAGAAGGTTCCAATATCAGATTTCTAAAGATAGCTACAGCACTCGACCCAAGGTTTAAGAATCTGAAGTGCCTTCCAAAATCTGAGAGGGATGAAGGGTTGGAGCATGCTTTCAGAAGTCTTAAATGAGCAACACTCTGATGCAGAAACTACAGAACCTGAACCACCAAAAAAGAGAATCAACCTTCTGCTGGTGGCATCTGATTCAGATGATGAAAATGAACATGCATCAGTCCGCACTGCTTTGGATTGTTATCGAGCAGAATCTGTCATCAGCATGGACGCATGTCCTCTGGAATGGTGGTTGAAGTATGAAGGGACATATGAATCTTTAGCATATTTGGCACGTAAATATCTTGCAACACTGGCTACAACAATGCCATGCAAACGCCTGTTCTCACTTTCAGGTGACATTTTAAACAAGAAGCAGGCAGCGTTATCTCCTGCAAATGTAAACAAACTTGTTTGTCTGAGCGATTGGCTGAACAAGAAGTAGGACTGAGCGGACTTGTAGGTTCTAAAGTTTTACGTTGTTTTATTTTTGAATGCAGTTATTTTTTGTACATAATTCTACATTTGTAAGTTCAACTTTCGTTATAAAGAGATTGCACTACAGTACTGGTATTAGGTGAATTGAAATATACTATTCCTTTTGTTTTTTATAGTGCAAATATTTCTAATAAAAAATAAATATAAAGTGAGCACTGTATGCTTTGTATTCTGTGTTGTAATTGAAATCAATATATTTGAAAATGTAGAAAACATCCAAAAATATTTAAATAAATGTATTCTATTTTTGTTTAACAGCGCGATTAATCATGTGATTAATTGCGATTAATTTTTTTATCACGATTACTTTTTTTTATCACTTGACAGCCCTAGATTATAGTCATGTGCAGTGACTTGTGCTGCTGTATATGGCTGTCATGGAGACTATCTGTTGGGTCCCAGTCCATCTTGGTCACAAGAGCATACCTCATGCTGCTTATCACTATTGCAGCAAGCAGAATATGAATAGGCAGGATCTATGGGGATCTTTCCTATCCCTCTAAAAAGCTAAGAATGGTGGGGCAGATGGAAGAGGGAAGAAATCCCCTTCCTGTCTACCATTCACCAAGAGATGGAGGAAGGAAAGAAGAGAGAGACTTCCTTGTTGTTTCCAGCAACAAAAGGTTGGGAGAAAGAGTGGGTGTTTTTCCTCTCTTTTGCCTGCAATCAAGAAGTGATTGGGCAGCTATGAGAAGAAAGAGCTATACATGTAGAATGGAGTCCCAATCACAAACTAATCATGGCATGATGTCTTGACACTGTATTGAATGTGTGCATTGTTCTTTTCATCAGAAAGTGATGTCTTTGGACTGTTATCCAGAAGGTTAGACTAGATAGTCACAATGGTCACTCCTGGCCATAAAATCAATGAATCTCATTAATGCCATGTCCTTCCTCAAACAGCCAATCAGTGTGTGTGTGTGTGTGTGTGAGAGAGAGAGAGAGAGAGAAGAGCTAGTGCTCCTAGTACTTGTGAATACAGGTTCTAATTTTTTTCATAGAATCCTCCTCATTGTACAGCGCCCCAACCCCCCAGATAGACTGGACTTGAAATAAGCTCCTGATACCATGTGTGGTCAAATGTTCTTTCATCTCTTTAGTTCCCAAGACATCATTTCTCTATATCCCTGAATCCATCTACTGTGCATAGCTGGTCACCATTATTGCACTCATACCTATTAGTCTGACCACTTTAAACAGCTGGCCTGAGGCCTTTCCTAAGTCAGACACTGAAGTGGCTGGTCTTAAAACCTGTGCCATTGCAGTACAAACACTGAAATTCTTAGTTGTGCTACAGATAAGCGATTCAATTAAATCGGTCTTTTGGGAGGCTTATGGGTTTTTTCTGTATTCTTCTATGATAATTGAAAGTTAACTATGATTTTCTTACCCTTGTATCCAATTATTTACTTATCTGATCTAGACCAAATGAAACTGAAGATGCTGTATATAGTGAAGATGACACGACAATTCTAGAGGCTGCCCAGGTGCAAATAGGACTTAGGTAAGTAATAAGCAAATGGGAAACATCTATTCATATTTAGGGACACTTCTGGCAAAACTGCCTCACATTGTCTTCTTATTTTAACAGATATGACCAAAGCAGTTCAAGTTTTGTGGTAATTGTAATGCAGCTCAGAAATCTTCATGCCTTCTCTGTCCCCTTTGGTTCCAGAGTGTAAGTAAGATAATCATTGAGCAGTAATGCTGAAGTGTACATTGCACGATTTCTGTGATTATGCTTTACTCGTTCCTATTGGAAGGTACTGTCGCTTTAGATACTGTATAATTATATGTTATAGTTATTTTTAAAAGAGTTGGTATTTTTAAGGCTATTTTGAACTGGGTTCACTGATCAATAGGAAGCCAGTGAACATGAAGGATGTGTGTGACACAATCTTGTTTTTTGGAGTTAATAGTTGTGTCTACCACTGTTATGCCCCCCTAAAATTTATAGTGCAGGAATTTAGAAAGACCGTGAAAATGGAAAGTTGAGATGAGACATGGCTAATGTACAGCAAAAATGCTGAGACGCATCATCTCTAACAAGTGATGTTTGAGTGCCTCTCAAAAATTAAGCTCTGCGTTGTGCTGTATAGATAGAAATATCAAAACAATAAAAGTGGAAAAAAGGTTGATGAAAGTATTGAAAAATGGCTGATGTAGGAAGTAATGAAAGAAACAAGAGGGAGTGTTCTTAGTGAACATAAGAATGGCCATACTGGGTCAGACTAGTGGTCCATCTAGCCCAGTATCCTGTCTTCTGACAGTGACTGATGCCAGATGCTCCGGAGGGAATAAACAAAACAGGGCAGTTATCATGTGATCCATTTCCTGTCATCCAGTCCCAGCTTCTGGCAGTCAGAGATTTTGGGACACCTAGAGCATGGGATTGCATCCCTGACCATCTTGGCTAACAGCCGTTGATGGACCTTATGGTAGTTAGAGTAGGGAACTGGGATTAAAGATCTCTGAGTTCTACACCTAGATCTGTAAATTAACTTGTTGCGTGGCTTTGGACAAACAACTGCTTCAATTTTCCAGGCTGCAAAATAGATACAATAATATTTGACTATCTCAACAGGCTGTTACGAGGCTTAATATGATTAGAGGTAGGATGGTGCCAGTCCATGGACAGTTGGTATTTTTAAGGCTATTTTGAACTGGGTTCACTGATCAATAGGGAGCCAGTGAACATGAAGGATGTGTGTGACACAATCTTGTTTTTTGGAGTTAATAGTTGTGTCTACCACTATTATGCCCCCCCCCTAAAATTTATAGTGCAGAAATTTAGAAAGACCGTGAAAATGGAAAGTTGAGATGAGACATGGCTAATGTACAGTATGAAGAAGGCTGTCAAAGTTAGAGCATTAAAGATCAAGTGAAGTACAAATATTAACAATGTTCTGAAGATATAGTAAGAAAAATAAGTTGATTCCCAATATTTTTGGCCTTGGGACCAAAGTAAAAGGTTGAAGTCAGAGACCTGGGGCAAAGAATTTTTTACTCCACAAAAAGGACTCCAAGATATACTGTTAGTTTAAAAAATATGAGCTGTTTTCTTCTGATACAAAGCCATAGCTTGTTAGAAGTGAAAGAATTTTTAAAATCCAGTATACTTGTCTGTATTTGTAAGCCGTTTACATTTTTCTTAGCTTGGACAATGACAATCAATGAAGTCAGTTTCACTTTTATTCACTTAGTACTGCCATCTTTGAAACACACCGGAGAATGTGCATTTTGGAAAAAACACCTGTTTTCATTGGTCCCTTTTTAAAAAAAAATTGTGTTGTGCTGTTGATGGTAGGTTTTATGAAACCTTGTTTTCACAATTTGGAATTTAAGACATTCAGTTGTCAGTGTCCTTTTAAGTCTTCAGAGTATTCAGCAGTAGAAAGCTGACATATCTGTGACCTGATACAGTCAATAAAAGCAGATACTTGGGAATCGTAGTTAGAGGACTTCAATATAGAAGAGAAGTCCAAGGTAGTTGATAGTGAGGTGAAAATGAAGATAGCTAAAGTAAGAAGGTGCGTAAAAGATGAGGGTTAAGGAAAGATCCTTGGTACACTTGATGCATATGTAAAGGCAGGATTCAAATATGGAAACCACACTGTTGGCCAGGGTGTCAATAAGAGTACAGAGACTGTTGAACTTAGGCTACATCTACACGTGGGAGTAGGGGTGTGATTATTAAATACTAGATAATATTAATCTCAGTCAAGTACTGCTTCTCATCTTTCCTAGCTGTTTTCTTTCTCTTTTACTAGTTTTCAATTTTCCTTTTTCTCAGAAATGCATTCCACCATGCTACTGAAGTCACTTCTAAGTGTTTAACTTTTTTCTCTCAATTTTCCAACTCTGTCTCTGCTCCAAAAGGATCTTTCAACTTTCTAGGATTTCTTGTTTCCATTAGGATAATGTATCCCACTTTCTGTGACATGATCTTCAGCGTCTCTCACTTAATACTAAAGCAAAGGATTCATTTGGATAGAGTCAGCAATGCCTACCTCATCTGTCATTACCTTCCCAAGGCACAGAAATAACTTTTGGGGAAATGGCTGTGCAAGGGACAGGTGGGAAGTTAAATTTATCAGCCCCCTCTTTCTCCTTTCTCTCAAGTGAATTGTTGCCTGTCCATTTCCCTGGCATGCACTTTTCCTTCAAACCTTGTGATCAGTTTCCCTCCACGGTGGAAGGCTGGCTGCAGTGATTCACTTTTCCCCTCAGCAGCTGGCACGTGTTAAGCATAGTGCACCTGCAGCTGAGCATGAGACAATTACAGGGGTAAAATGTTAAGAAGCCATTAATTTTGGATTTTGTGAATGATCTTAAATTGTAATTGTGCTTGCATACTAGGTGCTATTTGCTACACATGTAAATCATTTTATTTTGTTCCCTTCAGGTATTTTAGGGTAGCAGTACTTCCATCCTCAGTTGACATCAGCTGTCTGTTCCGCACTAAAGTCCATCCTGCTATGGAAACCATTTTATTCAATGAAATATTCAGAGTAGCCATTTCCCAAGAAGCTTTGCAGCAGAAGACATTACATGTAGATGTTTGTTCTGTCAGTAAAACTCGACGGGAAGAATGCCTGGTATGCATTTTTATATTAGCTTTGCTTGGCATGCATTTGTTTGTTTTATTCCCCACTGACGAATATGGCTTCTAGAATTCTGCAACGCTCCCAGAAGAATTCAGCACCTCATCTGGGTTGTCTCAGTAGCACTGATGATTACATTTCTCTGCAATTCCACATGTATACAATACGGTGTTGGATGGAGACCGTTTTAAAAGCTCTATCTTGCCATGATATTGCACAATGATAAATCGATGTATAGCACACAGATGTAGATCATGAGTCATTTCATCTAAACTTCATTGGAGTTACATCAGTGTAACACTGATGCAAGTCAGAGTAGAATTGGGTCTCCAAAGTATAAAATACAATATGTAAAACAAAGTGATGTGAACTTGTGTTATAACAAAACACTGCCTGGAATGCAAATCTTTTGTACAACACTGTGTAGACTGCATTAAGGTCCATGTTTTGAGACTAGTATACTTCATTGTAATAATATGTGACATTAACAATCCAGGATACTGTAGACTGGGACATTATCCATTTATTCTGGCTTCTGACATGATTAACTGTGTCATCATCACATAACTAATAACTTGCTTTCATTTACCATTAAGCTTGTCATCATGTAAAAAAGACAAAAGGAAATTTTCCTTCCAGGACACTGTCATGGGGAGAGATCATTGTTTTATTTTGAAGTCTTTCCATATTTTGTATTTGTTATCACTGTCATCACATATTGTTGCCCAGTGGCAGTGGTGATATATATGAGGCACACTGATTAATAATCAAGAACTCTTTAAAATATAAACTGCAAACCATGAACAATGCCTCTAGCTCTGAGTCATCGTCCAAGGAGCCAGTGGACACTGCTCAAAGGAACTCTGCACAGGTATATGAGACAAATAGGGTCCACAAGTAGGCCCCACATTTGTAAAGAACCTCCCCTCGAGCTTCCTCCTCCTGGACTGATGGATGGTTATCGTGGCCAGCGCCAGGAGGAGGTTGATGAGGTGGCCCAGCGACTTTGTGGAGTTATAGTCAGGGAATGCATACAAAAAAAGATGTGGGGGGAAATGCACTGGAACCTCAGCAGGAGGTTTTGGAGGTGCCAGAAGAGGGGCTGCCACTTGGTGCCTTCCAGGTAGATGTGCACCAGGGTCTCCCTCACTGCAGAAGGGACACATGTCAGGGCTGTCAGTGAATTGTGCCAACCAGCCACCCAGACTGACAGCTGTGGAGACTGAAATCCTCTATTTAGCTACAGAACAGAGAACTTAAATCTCCAAGGTATAGCCCTGACAGCAATAGTGCAAATTTCCCCATAGTTCCCAACCAGTAAGCCTCAACCCTCACCTGAAGGTCTCCCTTCCCTGAATAAAAAGGTAGCTTAATCTCCCCTACTATTCGCTCTTATTCTTCTTCGCTGATACTGCCAGGAAGATTCCAATTAGTATTGGTGGTTGTGGGTGATTTTTGTGATGGGCCAACTGCTGAGAAGTGGACTGAGATCGACCAGAATGTCCTCCATAGGGTTGTGGCTTTGTCTCTCCAGAACCCAAGATGTGCACTCTGCAGTGGACTCCAACGGTTGTTCATTATTTAATGCTACAGAATACCAGAGAAGCATTTTGGGGGGTTTCAGGGGTCTCATTTTTTGGTAACAGGTAAATGCTTAGCTTGGTATTTTATTTATTTAAAAAAAAATATGCAATATTGAGTAGCTTGCACAGATTTCCATTTGGTCTTTAAACTCTGTTTCATCACTGGAAAAAACAATGCTTTTTGAGCTGTAAAACACTCAGAAATGCTTGTCAAGTTTGTGGTGCCCTTTGTACAATGAAAAATACTGTAGAACGAGAGCTCAGCTCTCATACAGGAAAAATGACCAATTTTAACTTTTTCCTTCCATCTGTCATTCTGTGTAGGCTGGAACTCAGCTCAGCCTTGCAGATTTATCATTTTCTAATGAGACCTATACTCTGTGGTATAATCTGCTGCCCTGCAAGCAAATTCCTGGCAAAAAGAACAAGGAACAAAATGAGGAATCGGTGTTTCTGCCTTACAAGCAATTGTCAGGCTCGTTGGACTTGGTGAGCAGTGTGCGTTGGCTAAGCCAGCGAAAGCAAGAAAAAAGGCATTGACCCCTACTCCCTCACCTCACTGAGGCAGTTGCACTAATGTTATATGCGCCAAATTGCCGTTCTTATTCGTTGACTTTACTAGGGCCTAGGGTCCCAATCCTGCATGCACTCATGTGCATGCTTAACTTTACTAGTCCCATATGGGGTTGTAAATATTAAGCATGTGCATAAGTGTTTGTAGAATCAGGGCCTAACTATGGGTTGCAGGATTGGGTCCTATGTTTTAATCTCTTCTTCTTCTGACCTTCCTTACATTGTTTTTAAAATAAGAGTCTCCCTAATTTCCCTGTTAGTTAACTTGGTTTCTTATTTTCATGTGTGTATTTTGGAAACAGCTTTGTTTTTTGTTCTTTGTTAAATGTTAAAATATTTTCATTGCGTTTTAAAAATACTTTTTATGCAAATTGCACCATAATCATTCCAGTGAAAACAAACTTTTCTGCTTTGTGCTTGCATCACAAGAACAGCATGAGACACACGTGATTTTAAAAAATAATCTTTTCTTCCTATTTAGGCGATACTATAATCACCCCTCATTAGAGAAGAAATATACTTCATGGTATCACCCTATTAAAATACTTAAATCTCTTTTTGAATGTTTTCACACAACTAATTAGTATATAGCATGTCTGGAATTCTGATCCCCGGCATAAACTTCCATACTTTGCCTTTTTATTATCACTTAATCACATTTTCCTGGTGTAAGGGAATGCCAGGGAAACGCAACTCTTGTAAGCGTTGTCATTTCTTGCCTAATGTACTGTGTCTAGTTTCATTCTCTTTATTTACGCCATCAGGATGCTGTCTCGGCTCTGCTGGAGAGGACATCTGCTGAGCTGGAAGCGGTAGAGCAAGAGCTGGCGGAGGAGGAGGAGGAGGAGGAGGAGGGGCAGGAGAACAGGGGTGCTGATGAAGACTGGTAAAGCTGTTCTTTACATTGACCCTCATTGTAGGCTTAGGAAAAGTGCTTTACTTGCCAGGGAAAAAAAATCACTTCCTCTTCAGGGACAATTCATTATCTTCACTTAAGTTTACCAAATATACTGAAAGTTCTAATTCCCCGCCCCCCCCGCCCCTTCTGTGTAATCCACTCAGTTCTTCCTGACTCACTGACTGTGTCCCAAAATGCCACATCACAAATGTTACTTGTCCCATCTTATTGCAGTCCATAAACTATAATGAGAGATGACTAGGAGTTCGGGTGAGGGGGCTGCTGCATGTCATAGACAGGATATGTGCTATTTGTTCTTGTTTTGGAGGGGTTGTGAACTTTCTCCATGAGTGGGGACAGGTTCTGTTGCTAAATTACTGTATCTTGTTGTGTCTGTTAAGGAACAGTATTTCCCAGTACGCCTTTTCTGTAGTTGTCATACAGAAATGTGTGATCACGTACAGGAAGCTTTAATAAGGCTTTTTCATAGCATTAAATTTTTATTGTGTACATTATCACCAGAACAGCATGGTGCTATCAAATTTAGTGAGCTTTGTTAAAATGTTCTCGAAGGTGAATTATAACAGAGCTTTCTGTTTTTTCTTGGAGCATATAATTAAAAATGCATTCACATGAGTAATTTGGAAGCATTTGGTGATACTATAATCATCCTGTTCTTATCAAGATAACGTATTGATAACAATACGCCTCTTGTACAAGGTGCAGGATTTAGGCATTTCAGTACCTTTCTCCTGTGGGTCTTGTCAATTCAAGGGTAACTTGGGTTATTTTTGTTCTTGCAGGTTAGAAATGCTAGCAGAGGCGTCTGATGAAATTGTGGATGAAAAGGAGGATGGAGTTAAATTGGCAGAGGAAGGCGGATATACAGATAACTTGAGATTATGCAACGATACAGCAAAGACAGATGAAAACAAGGGTGGGAAAGAAAGTGACCACGCTGATGCCCCTGGCAATCAGTTAGCTGCTGTAGTCCCAACACTGGTGAATATTTTAGATTGTGCTTCCCTAAAGCATACTGCATGTTTGAAGACACCACTTAGTCTCATGAAATATTTATTTGCTTCTTTCCCTTGGCGTATGCCATAATAGTATATTGGGTTTGAAAGCTTAAAGATTACCATGACATTTATTATAGCAATTGTTTGTATAGTAAGTTTGAGCAAAATCAGATTGGTCATTTTTGAGTTAGGCAAGTGTGAACTTCTAACATTCATTCTAGTTGAAAATGTTGCATGCTTTTAACTTAAAAACAACTACCTTAAAACTCCAGTCTTTACTTGGTCTCTGAGTAAGGAAAAAATTCAAGTTGAAAGAAAATTAGTTTAGTAGCTTTAAGGTTATGAATGTATACGTTATTTTTTGCTTATGTATGTCATGATTTCATCTTTAGTTTTTTCTTATTTCTCTTAAGATTGTGCTTTCAAAAAAAATTAAGATCTTTGAAGTTAGTGCAGGGAATTTAGACATAAATCTTCCATCTGAACTTGGAAAAGTTCAATGTTTGGTCTAGTGACTCATTGGGGATTGTAATTAGCTCTCAGTTAGTTCAGGGAGTGGCCAAATGGATTGAGGGTCTTTTGGGGACCAGGCTGGCAGGCACAGATCATGGCCCTGATTCAGCAAGATGCTTAAGCACATGCCTAGAACAACTTACCTGCTTAAAGTTAGACACATGCTTAAGTAATTTTCTGAATCGTGGCCTAAAGCTGTGGTCTAAGCCTTGTTAAGACCTGCATTCAGCAGTGAGTCAGAGGCCAAGCAGCAGGTGGCGATGCAATATCTGATTGCAATACTGATTGAAATGAGATCTACTAGTGCCAAATCCTCCTACAGTTGCTGTGTTGCTGCTTAAGACATTCTCTGGTCTGTATGAACAACTAGATAAGTGAAAACTTCAAAGAACAATCAACTTTGCTGTAGAAAAAGGAAAAAAGATACCTAAATGCTTACTTTAGTGGGCACAGTAAATAAAGTAGGACCTAATTAATATTGTATGAATTAGTTGAGTGGGAAGCCCCAGTTCAGATTAGTGAGGTTGGCAGATAAGCAGTTGCCGTGGGCTGGGCAAGTCAGTGATGTAGCCATGTTTCAGGGTGTTTGCTGCGGGGAGGGAGTCCAGGGGTGATATGAAATGCCCCGTTAGTCCTTTAGGCATGTGGCATCACCCTTCTCAGTCCTGCCCTCAGCACAGCATCAGAACCTCACTGTGAACAGGGCCGGCTCCAGGCACCAGCTTCTCAAGCAGGTGCTTGGGGCGGCCGCTCCGGAAAGGGGCGGCAGGTGCAGGTATTCAGCGGCAATTTGGCGGACGGTCCCTCACTCCGGCTCGAAGTGAAGGACTTCCCGCCGAATTGCCGCCGCAGATTGCGATCGCGGCTTTTTTTTTTTTTTTTTTGGTTTTGGCTGCTTGGGGCAGCCAAACCCCTGGAGCCGGCCCTGACTGTGAAGCTGTAAACTGCAAACCCAAATGTTTGTTCTGAGTACAGACTTTCTGGGTTGTGGTTTACAGATCAGTGAGGCCCCTGCTATAGAAGTTTCAGATGGAAGTGGCAATTGTATTGGGCACAGGGAACACCTGGCAAGGTTTTTCTTACACTTTTTAACTGATTTTTTTTTAATTGAATACTGCTGCACTTAGTTATGGGTAAGTTTCTTGGGAGGGTAGAAGGGTCTTGGGAGGGGAGAAAGCAGTGCTTGCAAGGTATATCGCTGGCAGGGGAGTGTATGTGTGTATGTATTTTTTATTTTAAATTTCTCTTGACAGGTTGATAAAGAGACTAATACCGAGGAAGCAGTTAATGAGAATATGGCAGTCCGACCCAAGGACAGAGCCAGCTTGAGCTCTAGACAGCGTCCCTTTGTCAGGAACAGCATGCTAGTGCGCTCGCAAACCTTCTCTCCAGGAGAGCGGAACCAGTACATCTGTAGGGTAAGAGGAAAAGCACTCTCACTGAGATGCTATTAACTAAAGAGTCATTTAATTCTTTGGCAATGGCACATTAGTGGCAATGAGTCATGTACTGGGAAAACCC